CTCTCTCTCTCTCTCTCTCTCTCTCTCTCTCTCGGCTTAAGTTTAATATAAAATATTTGTTGAATGAAATCATAGAAAATGTCTTCGAAATGATAGCAGTTTTAAAGGAAAAAGTTTGCAAAACTTGTATACTTTGAGATGATTTGCCAATGAAATCATTTCCTATTGGTTTCAATGGTTTTTCGCCAGAATTCTAGCGATTCATAAGCAAATCGCTGTATTGTCTATTGAAGTAACACTTATTTCATATTTAAAAAAAATTATTTAACGAATAATATTTACATCTATTGTTTGTATTATTTTCCCCATAGTTTTTATGTTTTAATTAAGTTAAACTATATTTAAACTTAAACTTATTAAGTTTATTTGTAATAATTAAATTGTTGCCAACATTTGGTATGTCTTAAGTTATGAACACAATTAAAATAGTTTTCATTTATTAAAACCCCTATAAAGTGGTCATATATAGGACACCCCTTAGAAGGCATACGTGAGTACCCCTTGTGTACGGATAGTTGGCTTTAATTATAATCTAATTGTATGACCGGATATACGAAACCCTTTATGAATACAACTATTTCTTGAATAATAGCTTTTAGAAAGACTTGAAATAATGATAATAATTATCTCTCTTATGATAATAGCTTTTTATCTCACATTTCATTCATTGAATACCAAAATATGTATTTTATATGACATTTAAATGGACTGTCAGTTCCGCTTTAAACCCGGTTTTCAATGGCAGAGAAATGTCAAACATTTGGTTGAATTGATCCCAAAAATTGGTTGATAAGCACATGATATGCGTGTCTGTCGTAATACATGTGCAAACATTTCATAATGTCTTGGATTTTTGGAGACAAAAACTTCATAATATAATAGCAATTGTGTGGACACAACACGAGTTAATTAATATTTACAATAGATTTTAAATCAAAACATAATTAATAAATTTAATTAAAATATTTATTTGCATTGAAAACAGTTTGTAAGGAATGGTTAGTACGAGAGGACGGAGTTCTCGCATATCAGCTTCAAAACCAAGAAAGTAAGTCCACAAGAGTTGTGACAAATGACGTGATCTAACGCTTCGCTAAACCCATTGCCAGTTAACTCTCATTATGAGGGGAATCGGCATAAGAACCGTACGGTTAGGGAAGACCTGCCGATCGCTAAAGGCCTGCAACGCAACGAAGAGGAAGTGGCGACGACTGTCCGCCTGTCGTACGAGCGGTCACTCGAGCGACAGCTGGAAGACGACGAACGGGTGGCGCGAGAAATGCACGAAAGGCTCGCCGAACAGGACTCGAGCCGTCGTCGGGCCGAAGAGGAGGACGAAAAGCTGGCCAAACGGTTGGCGCAGAAGGAAAGGGCGCGAGTCGTGAAGAAACGACTCGAGCGCGAGAGACAACAGGTGGAGAAACTGAGCGCTCAGTTGAGTAGTAACAGCGGCGGCAGCGCTGACCGCTTGGAGGCGAGCGGCGGCAGTGGCGGAGACACTGACAACGATATCGTGGCCTCAGTTGACGGCATGCGTATCGGCGGCGCATCCAATGGCGGCTCCGTATCGGGCGATGAACTCGATTTGTCGGAGTTCTGTCTCCAACCGCCCGAACACTTGTCGCCCGAAGAGTTGCGGGCGTTTCTCGAAGAACAGGACGCAGAGATCGCGCGACTCATTCAACAACAGGAGCTCAAGAGGAAGAGTGCCGTCGATAAGGAAAAGTTGGCCCAAATCGAGGCCCAGGACTACGAAATCGCACGACTTCTGCACAAACAGGAGAGGGAACGCCTCCGACGGCTCAAAGAGAAGGCCAAACAAAAGGCATATCACAGACGTATGGAAGAGGAGGCCATTCAGGCGGCAGCCAGTGCTGGACACCAGACATACCCCGAGTATAATGAAAGCGAATTTTCGGCGCAAAGGCATCAGTCGAGTGGCGGCTCATACGGCGATTCGGAGTCCACTCACGGCCGCCATTCCCGACATAATAGCCATCACTACTCAGACACCGATAGCATTACATACGAAGAGATCGCCACTAATCATACATTTCATCCAAACATTGCCACACTTTTGGACCCGACGTACAAACGGAATACCTTTGCCTCCAATCCATTGGTCAACAGTAGCAACAATAACAACGGCTTCCCGTCGGCCAACTCTAGACACCCGAACGACGGCCAAGAAATTGAGTCCAACGTCGACGACGTTCACAACGAAGAGCCGGGCATTCATTTCGCACAGGTATACAAAGTGTCGCCGACGCCCTCCCCGTCAGACAGTCCCGTATCGACCGCCAGACGGCCCGCCAGTGACGACAATCTAGAAATAGATCCCATAATAGAAGACAATTACTACCCAATAGACGAGCCAAAGAGTAGGCACCGGATGTCTGGCACTACGAGTGCGGCCAATCCGGTGCCGCCATATCTGCCAGTCCAGGGCCAGAGACGGGTCGCCTCTATGGAGAAGAAGAAGAAATCTAAGGACAGCTGCAAAACTCAGTAGTGTTTAATCGCCGACTGTTTTGTCCCACACTTTAATCGGTGACCGAAAAGTGTAGTAATAATTAAATTTATTGATTTTTCAAATTATAAACACTCGTTATAATTAAGTTATACCACAAAAACCACTCCACGAATAGCTATGCAAACCATTGATAAGTGATTTTTAATATAAATTTGTTTAATTTTTATTTGTGTTTAATTATAATTATACCGTATTACGTCACATAAACGCCCATGGGGTATTATGTAAGTTTCTTAAAGAGGGTGGGGGCTTACCTAGGTAATACCCCATGCTATTTTGACTCAAAAAATGAAAAGTGTGATTAAACAGATAGTAGTGTTTTAAAATACTAATACATTATTAGAGATGATTAAATGTGTCTTAAATAGCTATTGTTTTAATTGA